AGTAAATGGCCTGTACTTGGCTTGTAATATATTCATACTCCTGTTAACGTGTAAAAAGTTGCCTATATAAAATTTAGACAAAAAAAAAACAAAGCAGATTTGACTTGATTAATGGGCAATATATTGTGCAACCAAATTATATATATAAAAAAAAAACTTCAGGTAGAAGAAATAAAGATGGCAAGGTAGTAACAGATTGCTTTTCAGTCAAAGTACTGTGCTCATTCATCCTAAGAGTAGCATTATTTTTATTTTGAAAAGAACAAAAAAAATATAAATCTAAAATAATTATTTGTTTAAAAAGACATTTAAAATTCATGCAAAGAAATAAGTGGGAAAAAAATATTTTTTTTTACAATGTATATATGGTGCTAAAAGCATAAAAAAATACAAAAATGTTGGTGATGGTTTCATCTGCAAATGAGACATAAAATAAAAGTAGGGACAATCATCTTGTCCGATAATTTTAAGGATGTTTGCAAAAATGTCGGTCTTAAATATGATACAAATAACTTACCCGGCAGGAAAATGCTCTTTAGTGCAACACTGCAGAGCAACGCAATTCAAAATGCTTTATCAACAAATAACAGACAGTTGGATGAATAAAAAATTCTCTTAAGAGAGATATACTTTGAGTAAAGTGCAAAAACCTGAAAAATAATTACGTATCAGGAATATTGAACACGATTTCTTAGTGTCTTTAAAAAGGAACTGTAATAAAGGACCTGTCTATAATAAACCAAAAGCACCCCTTCCTTATGAGGTAGAATATTCTGATCATAGAGTTCTTATTATTTATAACAAACATATCTGCTTCAAACAGAAAACAAAGATGTGTAAAAGTTTTCAAAGACTCTGGCATTTAGTTGTGGTCTTTTAAAGGATTAGTGATAAAATATTATCAAGACTTAGATTGTTTTTATTTTGGTTCTTTGTGTTCTTCGCCAGCCTTTTATGGTAATGCTATGCAAATATGTAATCCCTAAAAGGATTACAGATTAATATTTAACAATAATTATTTTTCAATCAGAAGTAATCATTTTAATTAAATTTTAATTAAATTAGAATCCAATTTATTAATTGCTGAATTGTGAAAAGAAAACAGCATGTACAGTCAAAATACAATCTTTCCTGTGTATTATTTACTAAATGTTTTTCTTTATTTGCTATGACGACATCAATAGAAATAATTTTAGGGAGGATGTTTATTCATTTCTTAAGGTTCAAAGGTTCACATAAAATAAGATTAGTATACCTTCAACTTGTGGACTAACTAGAGGCACAAATGGCCATTTTATATGAACAAAAACCCTAAGGACTGGAAAAACTGTTACAAAATTACCTAAAGACAACAAAATCATTGTCTTTAAAATCAGTGGCCATAACAAAGCCCTGATCTCAGTCCCAATGAATGTTATTGGGCAAAGCTTAAAAGTTGCATGTAAGCAAAGAGTCTTACAAATTTGTTACAGTTCCAGTGCCAGTTTAGTCAGCTGACTCATACTCAAATACAGGCAGATTACTAAGAAAAGCTTGTGAAATGGTAGTCAAGGATATGTCATATGTTTAAAACGGCAATCCTCACTGATATTAATAATGCATGTAAACTTCTGCAATTGAAAACAATCCATCTTTCTCTTAATATCTTCATATTATTGGATTTAGCAAAAATAAATAATGCTAGTTATACTATCTGACCTACGAAACATTTACATTCTCTTAATTTTCAGACAGGCATTATATGTAACTATCTTTTTTCAGCTGTATGTAAACCGATAAAAAAAAAAAATCAAACTACAAGAGTAGGCCTGACAGTGATGGTGGTGGATGATGAAGGTAAAATCTGTAGATAAATTGGCAGTTCTAGTAATGTAATTTTCTCCCAATATTCCTCCTTCAGCTTAATATTTTGTCCTCTAAAGTGATTATTCAATCCATCAGTATTATCTCCTTTGTTTCTCATGGAGAACCAAGCTGAACAAAAAGGCAGGTGGAATATCGCATGTCAGATAACTTCATGGTGGATGACTTTAATATCCACAACTGCAGCCAGCTAGGCTATACACTAAAATCGTTCAATAGCCAATGAAGCCACAGGCCACTAAACCAATATGGTGAACTATGGCAAAATGGATGCGGTCCTCGGAAACCCTGTTGGTCGCAGTGTAATTTAATCCAGCCCTTAGGACAAGTATCGCTCAACAGAAATGGAAAAAAAAAAATTTCATAGACTTCTAAGCCAGAGGATACATTTTTAAAACTACCCTAACCCCCATCCCTTCTCCCATGTTACAAGACTTTCATTTCTACCCCATCTCATTAAGGTCTGCAAATTGGCCGTAAAAGCAAAATACAGTCTGGTTACTATTCAACAGACAAATGGTGCAAACACCAGGTTGTTAAAAATACTGCGGATAAAGATACAGACTGGTTTGTAAGCATACATAGGAGACAACACTACGAGGGCAGAGGGATTTGATGTATTGAGCACACTTCATCCACAACTATGAAATACAACATTGTATGGTCAAAGAGCAAAACATGAAATAAATACTGCACAGACTCTTGGCTGGCTGTCAGGTTAACTGCCTTATAAAAGAGGTGCCAATTTATAAAGCAGGTCAGACAGGGAGAGGAGTTTTGATTGGTTTTCAACAGGTGGGTGGGGGGAAAACAGATAAGCAAATTGAGCTACAGCTTCTGGAAAAGTATTCATACCCTGAGGATGCTGTAGCCCTATATATCAATGTATTCGAGGCATTCGCAACACCCTGCATTGAGGAAGAAAGAATACGATACTTTTTTTTTTTATGAGATTTTTAATACCGTAAAATATTTCTGCATTTGTATTTTGCCTTCTCTGTGATATCTCCTAAAAACTTACGTACTTAATCTTCAATCATTTGTTTACTCTGAGTGGACAAAAACCTTTAGATCTACAATGTTTAAAGGAGATGTAAATCACTGTAGGAGCCATTGAATAAAACCGAAAACTAAACTTTGCAACACTATATAGTTGCATCTGCGGTGAACAAAAAGGGTTTTCTTTGGTAGCTCTGTCCATTCCACTGGATCAATCATTAAAACATTTCTGCCATAAGCATAGATCTTTGTGACAACTGTGTTTTAAAGGAACAGCAGTCAACACATCACCTGACAGAGCCTCATCTGACACCCATGTGAGAGTAGTCAGCGGTGGGAAAAAATGGCTCCGCTCAATTCTACTCTATTACTAAGCTTTGATAAAACCTAATTTCCCTGGGGCCTCAACTTTAGTTGAACTCAGTTTGGCTCAGTTCCACTGTCAAAGAAGCAGACAACGTAACATATAGCACAAGCTGAACAGGAGGCAGGACATAAATGTATAACACAGATGGACGGACCTTGCTTTTTGAGAGATGTGGTGTTGTACAGCTGGGGGAGAGTGAGCTGTAACTTTTAAACTGCATCAGTTTAGACTCCCCCATGAATTCTACATCCATTTTTGGAAAAAAGGAGTTTTCTGTAAGCAACAAGATTAGTGTGAAAAGCTTGACTGAAGCATCTGCTAGAATCCGTTCCAATCCAGTTTCAAAGATGTGCATGGAGCACACAGAAAGCCTGCTTGTACAATAGTAAAATTCTTACTCTTTGAGATTAATAAAGAAATACTGGGTAAGGGGGTGGGGTACAACTTTGTCAGTCCGGCCAATTTGCATTATGTTGTGTCGTATGTTTGCTAATGAAAAAAAGCATACGAGATAAATGTGTTTTCTTTTTTATACCTCCAGTTTTTCCTTTTCTGTGCCCCTGTTTTGGAGTAAGCTGACAAATAATAAACAACTAATTTTAAAAGACAGAATGGATGTTAATGCTGCCCGGGATTTTAGAAAGGTTTGGTCTACTGTAGTTTAATTAGGGGTGGACAATAGAACCGAAACTTTTATCATGATAAATTTCAGTCGATATGATACATTTCCAATATCAGAATAAACAATATAATACATGTACAAACTTGTGTACATTATTATTCCAAATCAAGGTTTGAAGTAAGACTTTAACTTGGCAAGGCTAAGCTCAGTCACACAAAATGATTCAATTCACACATCCCATAATGTCACAGAACAACTTCCCGTCCATGGTGACAAGCTTGTACTCTTTTTTTAAAGGCTGCATTCTTCTACTATTCTGACTAACTTTAAGCTGAGCAACAAGCTGTTTCCTTATGAGCAACATACTTTCTACACCTTCTGAACACAACAATCGTCTCATCCATCATATGCTAAAGTCAGGAGCATCTGTGGGGACAATTCCGCCAGGTATAGGTCATTTAAAATGGGGACACGTGGTCACGTTATCATTGCCGCTAATGTATAGCTAAAACTTGCTTTTTGAAGCTTAGCAGATGTACAGCTCAGTATTTTAGCTGTAGAGCACAAAGTTGGATTATCAGAGATTCTGATTATCCAACTGAAAATAACAGCATGGCTGTAAGGCCAAAATGATAGTTTATGATATTTATCCATCAATGATTACTTAATTTGTATAACATCAGCAAAATGCAAAATGTGACTTGGGTCTCTTTTTAAACAATATTTGCTGCCTTTTGGGTCTTTTGGGCCTTTTGGGCCTAGTCTCTGATTGATTTCTGTACATAGGGATTGATATTCTTCCGTGCAAGGAAGATCAAGCTCGAGACTGGATGTAGAGAAACTTTTTTGCAAATTTTCAGTTGAGTTTTATCTGGGACTTTGACTGCGCCATTCTAACACATGAATGGAACTATAAATGTTCTCTGAAAACCCCATGATGGATACTAGATCAGGCTTTGAAGACAAATGCAGGCTAAAACTTTGTTGGGAAAAAAATTAAAAGCATGTATTCATTCTGTTCTCATTCGACTTCAAAGTATTGCACAGCTTAGTGTGTCTGTATGTTTGCAATGTTACAAAATATAAAAAGAATTCAATAGTTCAAATGTATTTTCCAAGCTTCTGCTTGTATGAATGCCAGGTACTCACAGATGTAATAATATTCTCTTCCTGGTCGGAACTCAAAGCCCAGAGAAAAGGGAGTGAAGAGCTGAAACTTCTCTGAAAACTTTAGTGGCCCATTGGGGGAATGCGGCCTGTTGCACTCCCAACGCTTGTAGCCTTTGGCAGTGTGGTCGCATGTACTGTAGCCGTCATAGTTGACCATGTAGAGGACATAGCTCTCTGTCCGTTCCTTAGGCACAGAGTCCTCATAATGAGGACAGTAGACATCCAGGTAGTCATTTATGCAAACATCGATGTGATAATCACCACGGAGAAACCTAGAAGAGAAGTAAAAGAAAAACGGTTGACATTTACAGGAGCTTAAAATTTGCCTAAAACTTTAAACACAGATGGAATTTATAATCAAGTTGAAAAAATGTCTTCTACATCCCCTTCTACTTAAGTAATGTATAAATCCACCTGCACTCTCATCTACACTAACAGATTTAGATGGATTGGTTTATCTATAAATCTACACCTGCAACAAATATTTACTCACACATACAACTGCACCCCATCTAAATCAGAGTAAACCGGAGCATCCCACTTACAGAAAATATGTGAGCAAAAAAACAGACTTTTAGTTCTCTGCAGAAATATTACAGTGAAAAACTGGGTATAAGATAGAACTGGTCAGAAGGATGCACGATTACAAGATAGTAAATGTCACGACAGGAAAAATACGGAGCCAAGCTGCATCTGAAAGGCTGTGCAGTGAAGCATCTTTACAGCAACAATGATCTAGAACAGGCTGCACAGGGTCAATGGGGTGCCGTGTGTACAGGGAGTTTCATTAAAAGGCCACACACTTTCATCGTCAACATCAATATGCAGACAAAGACTATTTCTTCCTTCAAAGACACATCTACAGTAATCTATGGATATTAACTGAATTTAAGTGGTTTTTCTGATGTTAGAATTCCATTTCATGGAAGAAGGTTTATTTTATTTATTGGACAATGGCATTCACTAAACAAAATGTTAATCACCTATACATATAGTTACCAAGCAGCAGATGAATGTAAATGGGTTAGATTATCATGAAAAAGTAAATGTATGTCATTAATAAAATTAGTAAAATGGTTTATACTATACAGGTTTGTTATGACAGTGTAAAGTGGTCAGGGTAAAGCATGTATAATGCAGGTTGTAAGGAGTGTACTTCCTTTTATAAGATACTGTAAAGCTTAGTTCCCCCAGTGGATCCAAGGCAAATTCATATTCCCATTAGCAGGGCTGACAGTAGCCCTCCACATAGACCCCTTTTTGAACACTTTCATTTCTGATCTTACACTGAGAGAGCCTACGATAGCCAGAAACCTTAATGGGTCGAGGAGCTGTACTGTTCTGTCTATTCTATCCCTACTGAATCCCTGAAACATGCATCTCAATAAGGCAATGTTTCTCAATCTGTAATTGTCCATTTCTGTTGTGCTTCTGTCAATTACTGTCTGCAAAGAACAGGTTTCTTAGCAGGCAGGACTGGAGTAAAGCTGGTCCTCTGCTTTTGTGGTCAGTCTGTATCAAACTTAGACATGTTTTGGATCAAGAAATGGTATTCTGCAAACCTCTGTTATAAAGAATAGTTATTTGGACTACAATTTACATCTTGCCCAACCAGTCTGCGTACTTTCCTCTGATAAGAATGATGAATTTTATCCATGGATGCATTTTACAGATTAAAAATTCCTTAAGCCCAATTTCTTCCCCACTCTGATGCATAGTTTGGGCTTCAACAAGTCATCTTTACAATATTCAAATGCCCAAATACTTTGAATTAATGCTATGTGATTGGATTATTTTAAATGTTTAACTTAATTTGGTGGGTGATGGGTCTAAAATTTGAGCTTTTTCATTTCTAAAATAAGTTTTAAATTCTGTTAAAGCGCTTTAGATAAAGGCTCTAGATACCTGGGAGCCTGGTGAAGTGCAGGCTTGGGGAATGCAACATGACTCAGATCCACTTGTCCTGAAGATCAGATAGTATTTTGGTCAAACATGGTGTGGTTTACTCACTACTCACCTAATCTGAATGTTTGTACGATGGAATGTTTGTTTGAAAAAAATCAAGCAACAAATTGAGCCAAGCCATTTCTCATTTTTGTCATCATACAAGTTCCTCAGGCCCTGCTCGGTGTGTTATGGTACATCTGTGTCTATGTGAGCATGAGTGAGCATGAAAATCATTTTTTTCCCTTTCTGTTTACCCATGTAGGGTAAATACCAGGGTAAGGGTGTTTACAGCCAAGGCAGGGAGGAACTCATCTGTAACATTTCATTTAAAACATGTCTGCGGAGGTCCAAGAAAAGCCATGCATCTCTCTTACTGCTTCAAAATGTCACTGACTTGATGGCCGCATCATCCCACCCGCTTGCCCCACCTTCTGTGTTTTTGCACATACTCTTTGGGAGTGTGAGCGAGAGACAGCATGAGAATTACAGCGGGTATCCATGTGTGTGTGTTTGTGGGATGTTTTAGCTGCCCTTCTCTCTGTGCCTCAGCAGTCAGAATAGTGGCTTGTGGCCCTGACTGCAAATGAGCCAGAGGATGTTTGGGTGAGTGAGCTCATAAAAAGGGACAGGACAGGCATTTGTAACATGCCTCACAAACACTCACACACAAACAACAATGCCACCTATGCGACAAACACAACCAGCTCACACCTCAAGAGCTTCCAAAAGTATTTATCAGGTTTGCGTAATCAATTGACAAGTTACATGGGGGAAAAAGATAAATTTGACAAAGTTGCAGCAGTAATACAGCCAAAAGCTGCTAATGGCACAAAGACAGAAAGGGAATAAAAGTAAAAAAATGACATAGAGTGGGGAGAAGAGGAGGACCTATTTCTACAAGACAAGGCAGGAGACAAAGAGGAGATGGCACAACTCTAATTTTAACACCATGTTCTCTCTGAAAATCTGTGCAGGGTTCATCCAAGCATATATCATTTCAGAAGACTCCAATAAAACGCCATTTATATGACCTGAAGGTGTGAGCAGTCAAGTCTCATCTGAGAAAATCTTGTATCTTTTGAATTTGTTTTATGTAATGTTCCCATAAACACCAGTTATTGTGGACCTACTGTAATGTGGCAAATTCAGATATGGCAGATATCTCATCTTTGGCAATTCAAGCCTTTTTTTTTATGTCATGTTTGCCACTTAATGAGGTATTAAATAATTTGAGGGGCGGTTTTGTTGTCATTATTTTTTCTTTTTTTTTTAAATCTGACTTTCTTTAAAAACTATGGGCCTGCTTAGAAAAAACATTTTTGGTGCAAGTGAAAGGTTTGTATCCTTTCTACTGCTTGTTTCAATTACTGTACAACAGCATACGTTTTATCTAACAGCAAAATCTGAGAATGGGTGGTCACCGGTATAGAGATTATAATTAAAATGCTGTCATGTCTCAGCAGGGCCTATAATAATAACACATATTCAAAGGCATTTTATGTATTATTCTTAACTCTTTCATTTCTTAAAACTGCAAGAAAGATGTGAAATCTAGTCTATGTCAGTAAACAGCGGCCTAGGACTGTGTCCATTAAACTGGTTAATAGAGTAGATCTTAATTAATTGGGTAAATCTCCTATCCAGTTTAGATTGTTCCTGCAAGTGAAAACCCAGTTTGGAAAAAAAAAATTGTTTTTGTTTTTTTATTATTTACTTTCTGTAATGAATTGTGTAATTTATAAGCTGGAATATGGCATTTTGGGTAATTCTTTACGACAAAAAACATTGTTTGGTGAGCAGCTTGACACCTCAGTAGTTCAGTGCGATGCACCGATAAGCCTCTAAATGTACTTTGGGTCAGAAGTTCCCGTGCTGTTCAGTGGATGGGACTTCAAGCACGTCCATGTTAAAAGTGTCCAACATGCGACTCCATGTAAGCTGAAAAAAGTAAAAAAAAAGAGTCATAAGAATGAGCAGAAGAGTGCTGCAGTTGTATGTTTTGGCCACAGATGGCAGTGTCATAGGAAAACTTCATAATGCCTCTCTAAGCTCTGTTCCATGAGATAAATTAGCATTCCATTTAGCTTATTAGTATGAATTTCTGCCTGATAAGGATGAGGTCCGATTAGCACAGACCTTTCAAACATTTTGTTCTGAGGAGGGATCAGTCCCTGATGATGTCCTAATGTCCAAGCTGTTATTTCTAGAAACATACACTATATTGCCAAAAGTATTTGCTCACCTGCCTTGACTCACATATGAGCTTAAGTGACATCCCGTTCCTAATCCATAGGGTTCAATATGACGTCGGTCCACCCTTTGCAGCTAGAACAGCTTCAACTCTTCTGGGAAGGCTGTCCACAAGGTTTAGGAGTGTGTTTATGGGAATTTTTGACCATTCTTCCAGAAGCGCATTTGTGAGGTTGCACACTGATGTTGGACGAGAAGGCCTGGCTCTCAGTCTCCGCTCTAATTCATCCCAAAGGTGTTCTATCGGGTTGAGGTCAGGACTCTGTGCAGGCCAGTCAAGTTCATCCACACCAGACTCTGTCATCCATGTCTTTATGGACCTTGCTTTGTGCACTGGTGCACAGTCATGTTGGAAGAGGAAGGGGCCAGCTCCAAACTGTTCCCACAAAGTTGGGAGCATGGAATTGTCCAAAATGTCTTGGGATGCTGAAGCATTCAGAGTTCCTTTCACTGGAACTAAGGGGCCAAGCCCAGCTCCTGAAAAACAACCCCACACCATAATCCCCCCTCCAACAAACTTTACACTTGGCACAATGCAGTCAGACAAGTACCGTTCTCCTGGCAACCGCCAAACCCAGACCCGTCCATCAGATTGCCAGATGGAGAAGCGCGATTCGTCACTCCAGAGAACGCGTCTCCACTGCTCTAGAGTCCAGTGGCGGCGTGCTTTACACCACCGCATCCGACGCTTTGCATTGCACTTGGTGATGTATGGCTTGGATGCAGCTGCTCGACCATGGAAACCCATTCCATGAAGCTCTCTGCGCACTGTTCTTGAGCTAATCTGAAGGCCACATGAAGTTTGGAGGTCTGTAGTGATTGACTCTGCAGAAAGTTGGCGACCTCTTCGCACTATGCGCGTCAGCATCCGCTGACCCCGCTCCGTCAGTTTACGTGGCCTACCACTTCGTGGCTGAGTTGCTGTCGTTCCCAAACACTTCCATTTTCTTATAATACAGCTGACAGTTGACTGTGGAATATTTAGGAGCGAGGAAATTTCACGACTGGATTTGTTGCACAGGTGGCATCCTATCACAGTTCCACGCTGGAATTCACTGAGCTCCTGAGAGCGACC